TGAAAGATAGTTTTTCAGGGTACATCAATTTGGGTTAGAGGCTGTTTTCCTTTAGGGCTTGAAATACATCACACCAAGCTCTTCTAGCCTTGAGGGTTTGCATTGAGAAGTCTGCTGTGATTCTGATGGGCTTTCCTTTGTATATGATTTGTTTCTTTTAACTGCTTATAGAATTTTGTTCTTCTGTTGGGTTTCTGGAATCTTAACAATTATATGCCTATGTGTAGATTTTTTTTGATCAACGCTAGTTGTAGTCCTATATGCCTCACTTATCTGTATGTCAAGTTCTTTTCCCCTGCTTGGAAAGTTTTCTGCCATCACTTCTGTGAAGAGTTTTTTTAATGTCATCTGCACTCTATCCTGTTTTTTCATGGACTATCAGTCTTACATTATCCTTCTTTGCATCATCTAGCAGCTGCTGGACTGATTTCTCGTGGTCCCTTACAATCCTGAAGCAATTTTTCTTTTCCTAGCCACTAACTGCAATCTTATCTTCTATATCTGAAATTCTGTCCTCACATTGGCTCATTCTGCTCTGTAAACTTTCAATGGAGTTTTTAATCTGGAAATGTTTGGATCTGTTTTATGCATTCCATTTGTTTCCTATGTTGGGATTCCATCATGCTTCTCAGCTCCTCTATTTTTTTAATCTGTGTCCTCTCTAGATTTATTAATCATGTGTTGTGCTATGGGCAAAATCTCTGTTGTTATCTGAGAAATTATTTCTGATTTCATTTTTTTCCAGATCCTCTTTTGTTGCCAGTTCAGGGAGTCCAGGTGGTTGTGTATTATCAGTGTGTTCCATCTCTTTTCCCTTTGGGGTTGCCTTAGGTGATCCGGAAGTCTGGTTTTGAGACTTGTTTACATGTCTTCTCATTTCAACAGATACAGTCTGCTGTGCCTTTGTTGAGATAACTTTTTGGTCACCTAGTGGTCTTCAATTCTCAGCAAGCCACAGAGCAGCCTTTTCTCTGCCGCTCACCAGTACACTAATTCCTGGGTTCAGAAAGGTGGCCTTCTGGCTGGGGCCTGTGCACACTTGGGATGGTATCTCGGTGTGCCTCTCACTAGGGCCCCTATGTAGCTGCTGAGAGGGCCTTTGGCTGTGGGCTGTGCACCCCAGTTCTTGTTGGGTGAGCAAGCTTCTGGCTAGGATCTTGTGTACTTACTGATGGTATCGGGGCCAACCTCTGGCTGTTGCTTGTGTGCCTGTGCAGCTCTTTTCCAGGTGGGCCCCTGGCTTGGGCCGGTGTGCCTAAGCCTCTGGGGTCAGGGCGGAGCCCTGGCTGGGATCGGCTTGCAGCCATGCCGCTCTTGTCCACACTGCTGCTCCCCCAACTAAGGTGGTCTGGTGTGCCTTTATTGCAGAGATTTTCTTCACTTTTACAGTGGGCTTTAATTTTCAACAAGGAGCCTCAGAGAAGCCCTCTTTCTGTTGTTCACTTCTGTTCTATCTTCTAGAGTTCAGAACAATGTCCTTTATGACCCCTGCAACTCTGTAGTGTGGATCCAGGTAATGGCTTGGCACAGCCATGGTGGGGGGGGGACACGGGGACACTCACCTCCTCTGCGCTTGGGGGGGCTCTGCTCCTTGGTGCTCTGGGGCAGTGATATAGCGGCCACAGCAGCCAATATATTCTTTTTAATAACAATTTATACCCCTGCTAGGTTTGTGTATAATACTTGTTTTCCATGCATGACAAGCTAGGAAAAGTTCTTATTTTTGCTAATATGACAGGCCAACTGTCTTTTCAGTGTTGCTTTAATAATAACTTATTTCTTAAGAACATTAAATCTTTTTTATATACCTTAGAAGTTTTTCCCTCCCACTGAAAACTTTGTTTATACCCTCAGCCTACTTTTCCTTGGGCCATTCATCTATTTCTCACTAACTTATAAGATATATAAAGAGATTAAGCCTTTTTCATACATTCACATATACTCCTGGTTTGTAATGATGCAGTTTAGGTCACCGTGAACAATACAGTGTCTGTTTAGGAGTTGTATACATTTGTCATACACATACAAAAATCATTGGCTATATTATTATTTTAGGCTAAACATTTTTACTAAAAGATGATACCTTGTAATAAAAGCAACTACTCAGAGTCAGTACATATGTCAGTGTAATATAACCTGTTAAAGATAAATAAGAATTTTGTATTCCCAAACTCTACATTTACTCTAGAACAGTATACTTACTCATTTGAATATGTAGATTTGAGATTTAACATTAATTTTATTGCTAGTATCATTACTCTGAAAGGCACCCAGATTAAAATTTTTACCTTTTTCTAGAAATATAAAAATGTATAAAAGTACATATACAGGGAAATACTAAAGGAGAAGACAGACCTACACAAAGCCAAGAAACCTGCATGTGTTTGCAAGGACTAAGGGTGGGGTATGAGGGTCAAGTCCAAAGCTGATCATTAAAACTCAAAAAGAAAATAGTTTAGGCCAAATAATGGCAGAAACCCACAGTCTTCTTAATTTGGCATTTTTCTGATAGCTAATGAAGAGGGAGCAGAGAGTGAATTTTAAAAAAAGATTATGGACCTCAGACTGTAAAAATAAATCAGCACTTTAAAATGTGGATTTTATCATTCAGAATATTATTACTTGCTACCATATAAGGTATGTGCATATAACATTATATCAAACAATTCATTTCATTGTCTTCCCCAAAAACGTCTTATCTGATGTTATAAACTATTAAAACAATTAAGTATGTAAAATATTACCCTAGGAATTTGCCAGAATCCTTTCATATTAGTCCAAAAGCCATCAGCATGTTTAAGACCCAGAAACTCACTCAGTTATTATTACTTCTTTTTAATATAAATAAGTTTGCACTAAAATATCTTTCCAGGTCATTTCTGTCCAACAAATCCAGAAAGTCAAGGATTCATACCAAGTCCTTTACCACTACATTTTTTTAAAAAACATAATTTAGCCTTATTTCTCTTCATTTAAACTCCATGGTTATTTGATATTTATATTGATAAATACTTTTTAAATATCTATTGTAAAGATAAGTAAAGGTATAAAACTGAAGTTTGTAGTGTGGTCATAATGCTATAAAAACTGCCACACTAAAGGATTTAACAACAAAATGTTACAATTTGTCCTTAGAACTAAGAATTATTTCTTTTTTTTCTACTTCATAAGTTTTAATTCATAAATGAGTATTATTTTATAATTAAAATTTAACAAAAAGATGTAATTAACAAATCAAATCACTAAAAGTAACTTCGTGAGCCTCATGCAATTATTCCCTCAAATACGGAACAGTATTTAAAAGACTACAGTAGGGCCGGGGATTTAGCTCAGTGGTTTCGCCGCCTACTGTGCAAGCACAAGGACCAGAGTTCAATCCCCGGTACCAAAAAAAGAAAAAAAAGAAAAAGAAAAGACTACAGTATCTGGCAACAACTGCTCAAAATAATAGCTACAGCAAATACTTTGGACTTCAAACAAGGAGAGTAACACTGTCAAAGCATGCTTCCCTATTCAGTGTTCATTAAGACTGACAACAAAATAGATGTTGCCACAGTTATGGTGAAACAGACATCTTAGAAAAAAGCAAGTCTCTCCTTAAACTAAGCCCAGACTTTTTTTCCTTTTACTCCTATAAAAGTGATTATAGGGCTGAGGATTTAGCTCAGCAGCACTGTGCCTTCCTAGCAAGCACAATGTCCTGAGTTCGATTCCCGGCACCAAAAAAAGCCAAAAAAAGTGATTATAATCAAATTAGAATTGTTAGTATATAGAAATACTTGTATATCTTTTGGAACATAATACCCAAGTCCCTTTCACCTTCAGAATACTGTGATGACAATTAGGAAAAAAATATCTCCTAGGGGGAAAAAAATGAATATTTATCCTGCAAAATCAAGTAAATTCTTAGTCAATTTGGGATCAAAACGGGAAAAAGCTAGCCAGTCCTATTATGGGATAAGACTGCTCAATTTTGGTGAGACACTAAAATTGTATAAGTCAAATATCTAAGGAAGTCAAATGACAAGAAGCAGGTGGTCCAAAAAAAAAAAAATCTGATCTGTTCCACTCCCAAGAAGTTCAAGAAGGTAAATCTTTGCCTTGCTCCTTCCTATTTCCATGCCGTATTAAAAGGAAGGAAGAATAGGTATCATGTCCAAGGATAAAGAAAGTAGGCACACTATCCTAAGTGGCAGTCTTAACCCAGTTTATGAATCTTAACTAAGAAGAAAAGTTTCCAGTTATCTAAAATAGTGAAACACAACATTATCCTACAAGCTGATGAACTATCTAAAAAATAACACAACTTTATTTACTACTCCAGAGGCTAAGGCAGGAGGATTGAAACTTCCAAACCAGCCTGAACAATTTACCGAGACCCTGTCTCACGATAAAGATTTTAAGGGATAACATGTAGCTCAGTCAATGGGTTCAATTCCAGCGTGCATGTGCACACACACACACACACACACACTCACAAAGAACAGCACAACTTTTAAAATAGTGACACAGTTTTAGTGTATTCTGAGATTTTATTTTCCATACATGTCTTTATAATCTTTCTGCTGAGTTTATTTTCTCAAATTTAAAAAGTAAACCTATCTCTTTTTTCATGACCTCAATTTCCACTTAATAGTATGATAAAGCAAGCATAATCTTAGTTTCAGCTCTGCCATAAAATAGTCTGCTGGACTTGGATCAAATATCTGGGTCTAAGTTTCTCCACTTATACAGGAAGAAGAATTGGCCTAAATGATTAGATGAACCTTTCCATGGTAAAATAATCACTCTATAATTCTTAAGGATGACATTAAACTGTTTTGGGTAACAACTACCTTTAACTGGAAAAACATCTATAGATTAAAACAGTATATTTCTCAAACAACCATTCACCACATCAACACTGGTGAAGATATGACTAGGCTTTACCCCCACCCAGCTCCTTCACCTCATCCAACCATCAGCACAACAAACCCATCACTACCTATTAGTTTACTTACAGAGGAAATGGGTAAGCCCAGCCCCACTATGGTGAGGATAGTGGATGTGATGGTACTGTCATGGTACGGATACTGGATGCTGTTGTCTTTACAGAAAAAGCCTCTCTGAAATGGATATATTTGGCCCAAATTTAGAACAGCCATAGGCATGGAAGCTGTTGGGGAAGGGAAAAAAAAGACACATATGATTAAATTCAGTTCGCTTCTTTAGGAAGTAAAGTCTACTGAATGGGATACAAATCTTAAAAAATATTTTTCCCTTTCTGGAGAAAGCTAAATATTCCATAATACCCAAGAGAAAAAACTGAGGAAACCATGCAGCATTTGCTAATCCAAGAACATATTCGCTTACTTGCATTGACCTGATTTTAGGAACAATCAATAAAAGAAACTCAAAGAAGAGGGCAAAATTGACCCATGGAAAATTAAAGCTGAAAAAAACAAGATTTTTCTATTTTCTATTCTATAACTAATTCATATTTAACTGAACTGTTTAATATCTTAAATACATTTTTTAAAAAGGCAAAGATCTGTAAATTTAATAAGAGCGTAACAGTCAAATGCAGTTAAGTAGCTATCAGAATTTGTTTCACATTAGAATTTAAACAAATAGCTAGAAAAAATAGAAAACCTAAGTATAAGTGATAATGAAAACAGAAAGAAAAGAACACACCTTTTGTTTTCCAAAGACAAATCAAAAGAATTTTATTAGCCCTGGTGGGCCTCCAAAACCACTTTAAGAAGTTATAAAGAAATAATTAGTTGAAAACTTCCACCTAAATAAAAAGACCCTGAAAGACCAAAGTTAAATAACTTAAAATAGCAGCTTCTTTGTGTTTCTTTTCTTTTCTTTTTTGGTCTTGTTTTGTTCTGGAGACGGGGTTTCACTATGCTGCCTTGGGCTAGTTTCAAACTTCTAATTCTCCTACCTCAGATTCCCAAGTAGCTGAGACTACAGTGGTGCACACTGTACCTGGCTAGCAGCTTCTCAATATGTTCAAATTTACCATGCTTTAGGCTTTGCTTTATAAAATTAAAATACCTAAACATCTACTCACTGGATACTCAAATAATAAGCTAAACTATATATGCAGGAGACAAGCTAGTATGAAACAGATACTAGACTGAAGAACCAAAGTTTTAGGTATAAAAACAAGAAGGCATACTCAAGAAATTGTTTTAAAAGAAATACCAATATATGTAGTTCAGCGGTAGAGCACTTCTGTGCCATGGAAGAAGTTCTGGGTTTGATCTCCAGTACAAAAAAAAAGGTGCATGTGTGTGTCTGTCTTTTGGGAGTGATGAAACTTCTGTATCTTGATTGTAATAATTACACCACTAATTTTACTATATATAATATTTCAAAAGAAATACCATAAAAGGCAGAAATACAACATAAAAAATAGAAATATGACTACTAAAAAAGAGTAAGGGGACCTACAGGAATTCAAAGTCAATGTAAACTGAAATAGAAAAGTCTAATACAGGAGAGGCAACTGAATTGAATTTGATACAGCAGGTAAATCACAGGCAACAGGGAGGGGGGGCACAAGGAGAGCAGGTAGTGGTTAAGGGATGCAAGAGCAGCGTGAGAATCGCATCAACAAAAGCACAGAGGGAATGAGCAAGGAGTTCCCAAGGTACAAAACATTTTATAGCCAACACATAACTGCATGCTCATACATACCAGGCAACAGGCTGCACAGATTAACTCAATCCTTACCTATAACCTGTGAAATACTATCAGTATCCTCATTCTTTTTGCTACGGTTATTATTATTTTTTCTTTTTTTTTTTTGGTTCCAGGGATCTAACTCTGGTCCTTGCCCTTGCGCAGCAGGCGCCAAAACCACTGAGCTAAATCCCGGGCCCTGCTACGGTTATTATTTAAGAACAGAAACATTGCAGAAATAAAGAACATTGCAGAAACTCTAGGTGATGGAACCAGGATTCCAACACAGCCTGTTTCTAGTCAGTGGGCACATATCCTCCCACGGACACAACTGATCTGGCTGGAGTAACAGGTTCGAATTGTAGCAAGAAATACAGGATTGGGGGCAAAGGGACTTGTCCTTTAAAAAGGCTTGTTCAGTAAAATACATGTTGTGTTCATAATAAAAACTCAAATAGAACATCTACTTTGCTGCAAATTATCTCTGAATTCTGCAATTTTGTTGTTTTTAAGTAAGAAGGTGTGAGTTTTTTTATTAAAGGATTATAAATTTAAAAAACTGACCTCAGAAAGAATTTATCTTGTAAAAAATAAAATATCCCTCTGCTCAGGGTCAGCAACATGGTGTAATGAGAATTTTAGATATTAACTTGCAAAACAGAGACAGAAAGAAGTAAATGTTTAATCCAGCTTTGAAATAGCTCAGAATCTGGTGATTAGTATGTTAATAGTCAAAATAAGAAAAGATGCAAAGGAATGAAGAATGTTTTGAAACATAACACAACTTAAGGACTGATCACAACTGCTGAAGCAGACCTGAAGATGGCATTTCAGAGTATAAAACAGAAAGAATAATCATCCCAATGACAGAAATGTGTAGCTAGTGGCCAATACTGTAGCCAGTGGCTAGTGGCCGCATTTGATATGTGACAAGTATAACTGAAGGATTTAATTTTTAAATTTTATTTAATTTTAATTAATTTTAAATTATTACCTGTGGCTCTGGCTCTCATACTGAATAATGCAGATTCAAGGAGTTAAAAATAAACTAGTAGGGCCAGGGAGTTAACTCAGTGGTTCTGCAGCCTGACTCACAAGTACAAGGTCCTGAGTTCAATCCCCAGTACCAAAAAAACAAACAAAAAATAAAATAAACTAGTAGTTTGAAAGCCATTAAATTTCCAAAAACATATTTACATCTAAGGTAGCATAAAACTAATTGATTCCAGAAATAAGAAAAAATTATTACACAGTGCTCAAGTAAACTTAGGTCTCATTGTGCACCTATGCACAGAATAAAATTCCCCCTCATACATACTTTTGGCTGCTTCCTTTAAAGAATCTAGCCCTGCTGTGTCCCTCAAACCTCAGAATCCTGACTTTTTTTTCTCTCCAGGCCACTAGCTGTCCTATGAAAGGAAACAGGTATATCTGGGGTACCCTCAGAGCCCCTTCACTAACTTCAGATCTTCTCTCTTTTGTTCTGGGGTGACCCTACAACTCTAACCCAGAAATGTCTTCTTGTCCTCAGGATACCCAAAGCTTCTCTTTTTTTAAAACTCTGTCTACATAGCAGCTACTACATGCTTCCTCTTACTCCTAGAACCACTTCTACCCTGCACAAAGGAAAATGTATAAAAATTATATTAATCAGCCAAGGCTATAATCACAGCTATTAGGGAAGCTGAGGCAAGAGGATTACGAGATAAAATTAAATTAAAATTTTAAATTTAAAAAGGGATAGGGATGTAGCTTGACGGTACAGCATCCCTTGGTTTGATCTCCAGTACAGAAAAAAAAAAATCATATTAATCAAAGGTATTTAAGTTTTTGTGACTCATAACAAGTACTGCAATAGTTATGCTTATATAATATGTATTTTCAAATTTAAAGATTCTTTTCAGTAAAAGCTAAATCTTATTCCTCGTATAGTGTCTGGTCATCTAGATCTAACCTGAAAATTATAAGGAATACTAACTCTCACTTAAGTGAGAAGTAGTCAGTGCTATTAGAAAAAAAGCACAATTTTTTATTAGGCTTTCAAATTATTCTACCTGTAAAGTCTCTAAAGTAAAGGTTCTAAACTGAGGTGGTGGTGGTACACACCTATAATTCCAGCACTCTAAGAGCCTGAAGTAGGAGGATCACAAGCTCAAGCCCAGCCTGGGCAATTTAGTGACTTAGCAAGAGCCTCTCAAAAAAGGGGGATGGGGCACCTAGAGATGTAGCTCAATGCAAAGGCCCTGGGTTCAATACCCAGTAATGGAAAAAAAAATTAAAGTCAGTCTAATGTCTTAAACTTTTTAGGGATCATGGTCCTCTAACATGCTAAAGAAATTATGGTGCCTTTCCTCAAAACCATACAGACTTTTGCCATACAGTTTTACCTCATGTACCTAACCAGCTCTCCCAAAGAAAAGGTCATCTGTAGATACTTTAATTATATTTATTTTTGGTTCCAGGGATCGAACTCTGGTCCTTGCGCTTTTGAGGCAAGAGGCAGAACCACGGAGCTAAATCCCCATCCTGATACTTTCATTATAAAGATACCAGAAATATAATTTAAAATAATATAACAATATCGTAAAAAGCTCATAGACTAAAGTGATCTAGAATATTACTTCAAAGACAACTAGAATTAACTTGATATCCCTTCTTCTCCAGCTGCCCTTCCTCTCCATTCCTTCCAATTTTACCCTTTTCTAATCATCTCTCCTTTATTTTCTATAGCACTTCATTTCCTTATTACTCTAGAATGGAGAATTGAAGTCTTTCTAGTATTACCCAAACTTATTGGCAACTTTATGTTTTCTGTTGTACTGTCAAAAGCAAGGGCTAGGGGTGTATCTCAGTGGTAGGGCACTTGCCTAGCATGAGCCACACCCTGGGTTTGATCATCAGCGCCACAGGAAAAAAGAAAAGTAAAAAACACTTATTGAACACCTAGTATTTGCCTTTGTATAGTATCTTTAATCCTAACAATTCTATGAGGAAGAAAGAAAAAAAGCAGTCCTCCCAAAATCTTTAGGTTTGAAACTTAAAAAGTCAATAAATCATACGTCAAAACAGTCAAGCCAACCATGGTGATGCACATACATAATCCTAGCTAGCACTCAGGAAGGAGGCTGAGAGAGGAGGATCATGAGTTCAAGGCCAGCCTGGGCTACATATTGAGTTTGAGGCCAGCTTGAGCTACACAGTGAGATTCTGTCTCCAAAAACCAAGGGAAAAAAGAAAAAAAAAAAAAAAACCTCAAAATACAAATCACAAAATGCCTACAACTTAGCAACAACAAAAAAATACTATGAATCAAAAATGTATACAGCTAAAACACTACAGGTAAAAATTAAGAGTAATAAATTCCTCAATCAGAAATTAATGAAACAAACATTTATTGCAATAACTTATTTTTTAAAAGCTCAAGAAAGTGGAAGGAGTAGAAAACAGAAATTAACAGAAAACAAAGGAAAAAAGATTTAAAAA